AGTCAAGGGCACATGCCCAGGTTGTGGGCTCCATCCCCAGCAGTGGGCGTGCAGGAGGCAGCCAATCAATGATTCTCTCTCATCATTGATGTTTCTATCTCTCTCTCCCTCTCCCTTCCTCTCTGAAATCAACAAAATTAGAGAAAAATGTATTCTCAGCAAAAACTTCAGTGAGTGCAAAAGTATTTAAAATAAAAAATTTAAATCCCTGGTCCAGTTCCCTATTTATCACATATTCTTCCAGATAATCATATTTTCTCACCTTCTAAACATATGTACAGCTAGTCTTTCTAAAAGATTGGAAAAACGATCCATGTTGTTTTATAAATTTCTTTGACAGTGTACTGTGGACATCTTTCTATACTTGTACATTTTAGCCTAACCCATTTTAAAGATAGCTGTGTAGTAGTCCATTGCTAGTGTATGATATTAGTTTAACTAGCCCTTCTTTATTAAGGGGATATTTAAGTCCCATTTTACATTAACAAACAGTGTCTGGCAGCTTTTTTCTGAGGCCCAGGTTTTAGCATATGCCACCGGGTCAGCATTTCTGTGAGTTCTGGGATATAGTGATTGCAAGAGACTGTAGGCCAGGGTTCAGTAAACTTTTTCTGTAAAGGTAGTATATCTTTTAGGCCTTGAGGCTCATATATTCTCTGTCACAGCCCCTCAGCTCTACCACTATCATGCTAAAGCAGCCGTGGACAGTACAGAAACCAAGGGGTGAGGCTGTGTTCCAATAAAGCCTTATTTATGGGTACTGATGTGTGAATTTCAAAAACTGAAATAGTCTTCTTTTTAACCATTTCAAAATGTGAAAGACGATGTGAGTCTAGGAGTCACAGGCTGTATGACAGCAGGGTGGGCTGGGGTTGGCCGCAGGTCCAGTTGGCTGCCGACCCCATTGTGGTCTCTGTCATCTGCAGTAGAAGTGGCCCGACTTCCCCTCCCCTTCCTTCTCTCATGTGCTCAGGGTAATCCTGGCTTCCTGGTCTTGCATTCTAGACACAGGCCAGTTTTATCCATTCATTGTTTAATTCATTCTTCAGCTGTTTGATTGAATTGTTCACTCAGCAGACACTTGCTCAGTGGGCCTCAGATCTGCTCCAGGCAGAGTGCTGAATGCTGGGGATATGATAAGAATCAGTCCCTGCCCTCTAAGTGCTTCTTCTTATAGTGGAAACAGAATTTAAATGAATACGTATTTGATAACAATTCTGAGCAGAACCTTGAAGGGGAAGCCCAGGGTGTTTTGAGAGCAAATTCATTTGAGACCCTGGAGATCAGGGAAGGCTTCCTGGAGGAAGAAGTACCCTTCAGCTCAGATGGGGAGGATGAGGAAAGGGCTGCCAATGGAAATGCCCTCCTGATAGCAAAGAGTTAGTCATGTTTGGGGGATTGTCTATAGAACATGAACATCATGTTAAGGACTCTGCTCCTTAGTCTAAGGCAGTGGTTCTCAACCTGTGGGTCGCGACCCCTGTGGGGGTCGAACGACCCTTTCACAGGGGTCGGCTAAGACCATCGGAAAACACATATGTAATTACATATTGTTTTTGTGATTAGTCACTATGCTTTAATTATGTTCAATTTGTAACAATGAAAATACATCCTGCATATCAGATATTTACATTACGATTCATAACAGTAGCAAAATTACAATTATGAAGTAGCAACAAAAATCATTTTATGGTTGGGTGTCACCACAACATGAGGAACTGTATTAAAGGGTCACGGCATTAGGAAGGTTGAGAACCACTGGCCTAAGGGGATGGGAGGCCCACCTGCCTCCCTGGTCCTCTGGAACCTGTTCTTAGGTGGTTTTGTTTGGCTGTTGGGCTACTGTTTAAGTTTTTGGATCTGCCTGCCTTTCTGCAGGAAAGGACCTATTAGAATAGCTGCTTGCTCTTCTCACACCTGCGTTATCTGACCTCCTGATACTTGTCACCTCGCAGCTGGGCCCGCTGTATCCAGCTTTCTGCCCTGACTCCGGGGCCTGTCCCACTTATGGGTCAGGCCAGAGGCATGCACCACTGCCCAGGAGGCAGAAGCCACCAGGGCCCCGCTCTAAGCCGCCCGGCCATTCCTCTCTTCTCACCTTTCCCAAATACTCCGTCTCCCCTAATCCCTAATCAGTTCTTTCATAGAGTCTGCTTGGGCACAATAGGCATCTGTCCCTGTTTTTGTACCGCATACAGATAGAAGGAGTTTAAAGCCCAGTTTACATCTGTATTGCCAGGCTCTGGTTAATCTGCTTATGTCTAGTCCACTCAGGATTTTATGGGCGGGGATTGTCACGGCACTTGTCTGGGCTGTGGGGATACAAAATCCAAAGAGAGGCCATCTCCGCCTTCACAGATCGCAGTTCTCATGGCGTCAGACACACAGACACCAACAGGCGCTGTGGGTGTTCGCATGGGTATCTGGGGCTCAGGGAAGGGAGTCATCAACTTCCTCTGGGTATCAATCAAGCCTTCCAGGAGGGGGCGCTGGAGTCAGGGATCCAAGCTGAGGTCTCTGCATGCGCAAAGGCAAGGCTGCAAGGAGAGGCTGATGTGTTTGGGAAGGAGCAGAGAAGTGACAGAGGGGCTTAGGGATCTGAGCCATGAAAGACCCTCTGAGGCCCTTGGAGGCCTTGGGACTTGGCCCTGTGGGCAGTGGAGACTGTGGTAGGATCCAGAGCCGTGTGTGACATGATCAGGACATTGTGGCAAGACTGCTTGTGCAGCAGAGGGAAGGGTTTAAGACAGCGAGCACGGAGCCTGGCAGACTAAATGAGAAGAGAAGTAATGAGGTCAGCTCCGTGTGCACCGCTGGCCGGAGAGGAGGAGGGAGAATCTGTCAGGGGGATGCTCCAAGTCAGGGCACGGAGAGCGCTCGGACACCTCCGAGTCTTCTGCCTCGTGTGCCGCAGGCATGCAGTGAGGACAGGGGATGGGGCGCGGGGCGGGGGGGTGAGCGGGTTTAGGAGAAAGAAGGTGAATCCACGTAGAGCGTGTTCCTTGGGGGACATTCCGGGAGAGATGTGAGCATATGTTTGGACGGATGGGTCTGTGACTCAGGGGACATCTGGGCTAGAGGTGGGGACCTGGGGACTCTGTGGGTGCACCGCTTGGCAAGCGGAGAGCAGAATGGATTTCACCCCACATCCCGCTTGGCCTGACACTGCGGCACCGTGACCAACCTAGCGCTCGGACACCTCCGAGTCTTCTGCCTCGTGTGCCGCAGGCATGCAGTGAGGACAGGGGATGGGGCGCGGGGCGGGGGGGTGAGCGGG